ATGAAACCATGGCCTTCAGAATGAATCTCTCTGAAGAACATGACACACAGATAAAGACAGTCAAGCGGTGAGAGAACTTGAAATGTTTCACATTTTTAATGTTCAGAAATAATAATTGCATACTACAATAACATTATCATTAATAGTCTGATTCAGGAGGGTGAGTCAGATTTAGCTGAACACATCGATGTGTCTGTGAGGAAAAACCAACCGATGGATCTTTCAGATCTCTGCAGAGAGGAAGACTCTTCTGTTGAGCGCAGGTGAGATATTATGAGTGTCATATATACTGCAGGTGTGCTGCATTATGGACATTCACCAGGTGTCCCTGTTGCTGCTGGATGTTTCTGTGTCTGTCTGTATCTATATGTGTGGATTGCTCTATTTTATTCTATAATGCATGAATGAAAAGGGCACATGGGGCAGATTCCTTTTATTGATAGAAAAATAATACTTTAATCTTTTAACTCTCAACTCACAACAAACTCCTCACTGAAAAAAAAATCTGTTGGATTAAAATAAAAAATATGTACCGGTTGCACATGTTATGTTCTCTCAACATAATTTATCTCTGTTTATGTTACCCAACTTACGTTTGTCAAATGAACATGATTTTTTATGTTGTTTTTTTGCTTTTTATGTCACGGTACCTCATGTTGATTTAACATGATTTTTGTTTAAATGAAAGCTTTATCCACTATATGCAGTGGTGATTCAATAAATTAAACAAAACTATGATGAAATCTATGATAAAACCAGATATTTAGATTAATAACAGATTTAAAAAAAAAGCTTTGGTCAACTATAAGCTGCTTTGTTAAAATAAATAAAAGCGTTTTAGCAACCTTAATATTGTACATTATTAAAAGCAATAAGGCAATAAGCAAAAACATTTCTTGGAAAAAAATATTTTTAATATTTTTTTCAACAGTACACACCAATCCATACAGATAACAAATATACAGAGAAGCATGATACACACATAGCTTATTTGTTTGAAATGCATGTGTTAAAATATAATGTAAGCCCATATAAAATTAAAATCCAAAACTAAAAATCTATAATAATACTTCATTATTGTTCATTATTATTATACTTCACCTGCTGAAGAAAACATAGTTACACAAAAGGAACAATGACAGCATAACTAAAATAAAATAAAAAAATAAATTTCTAATTTTTTTTAAGAAAGACTTTCTTTGAAAGTGTGCTGATGTTAAAGTGCCACCATTATACTCCTCAGATGAATCCTTCAAGGGATAGTTCACCCAAAAATGTAAATTCTGGTATCATTTATTCACCCTCAAGTTGTTCTAAACCTGTACAAATGTATTTGTTCTGCTGAACACAAAGTAAGATATGAGACCAAGCAGTTTTGGGGCACAATTTGGCATATAGTAGGAGAAAATACTATGGAAGTCAATGCTGCCCCAAAACTGTTCAGTTATAAGCATTCTTCAAAATACCTTCCTTTGTGTTCAGCAGAACAAATACATTTATACAGGTTTGGAGCAACTTGAGGGTGAGTAAATGATACCAGAATTGTCATTTTTGGGTGAACTATCCCTTTCATCAGTTAAGTGGGCAGCTGGATTTTGCAGTAGCTAATGCCAAGCTATCTAAATAACTGTAAGATTATCTGGCCCTTATTGACGATCCTGATGTCCCCTGGTCCGTCATGGGCATTGTCTCCTCAATGGATCCTGGGATGAGGGCTTCATCTGCAGCCTGGAGAATGCACAGTAAAAAAATAGATTCAATACTACTTTGGAAATATCAATAATTTAATAATATCTGTATCCTGAGAAATGTAAACTTGAATATAATGAGAAGCAGTTATGGTCAACAGAGACTGATTATAGACAGCGGACCTTGACAACGGCTGACAATGGTAATGTCCGGTTCAGTTTCTCATGCTGACTAAAAATATAATCTAGTCGACATTCAAAGAAAAAGATTACACACATTTCGAAAAACGTTAATATTTGATCATTTTCAGACGCGGCTAAAGCTAGTGTTAACGTTAGCTAAATTGAGCATTAGCACAAACGTTGCTTTTAAAACAATGTTGTTTGATATGACAAGTTCGTGTCTGTATGTGTGTGTGAGCGCGTGCATGTCTGTGTGTGTGCATGCGTGTGTGTCTGTGTGTCTGTGTGTGTGTGTGAGCGCGTGCATGTCTGTGTGTGTGCATGCGTGTGTGTCTGTGTGTCTGTATGTGTGTGTGAGCGCGTGCATGTCTGTGTGTGTGCATGCGTGTGTGTCTGTGTGTCTGTATGTGTGTGTGAGTGAGTGAGTGAGTGAGTGAGTGTTTGTGAGAAAGTGACAGTTGAGATTCAAATTCATGAACATTCCAGCATTGTAAGTCTATGGGATTTTTTTCCTTGCTTTTTTGTCAGACACCTTCAACATCTCTCACATTATATCACAGTTTATTTGCTATAGTTTAGAAAATGGTAATAAAATATGAGAATAACTCAGAGTTAAACTGTCAGAACAAACTCAATAATACCAATTTAGGTCAACCAATTACCAAGCAATGCTTAATTTTGTTCAGTCTGTGGTGTGAAAAGGTCATATTAGCAATTAAAGAAAAAACACTTAAGCAAAACATGCTCAGGTCAAAGTGTTAGATTATCTCTAAGGTGGACAATAATGAACTTAATAAATGCTGTTGTGTACATTAACCATATCATGTCAACAAATGGAAAGTCAGACAGCTATTTATCACATTAGCTAACAGTATAGGGATGCTTTTTTACCCCAAATTCCGTACTTTTCATATTCTTCAGTTATTGAAAAGCTGTTGGTGTAATTACCTTGAACAAAACATAAGTAATAAGAGTGCACAGTCTTCCTAAATATAAAGTCTTTGATCTTCACCCACGCCACTGGATTCCATCATTGGGCCAATGAGTGATCCTTACAAGACTTATATGTCATAGTTATACTATATTGTTACTCTTATTTTTACATTATCACCTATATAGTCCTACAAACGGTTTGAAGAGTGAAAACGATAAACTAGTTCAGCATCACAGTCATGAATCATGTGGGTAGAGTGCATTTAAATTAATGTCTCAGCTGCTGGCAAGTTACTCTCTGCTCTACTGGAGGATCCACACTGTAAACTGGAGAAACTAGAGTAAGTTATTGAGTCAATGCTTTCATTTATTATCTTGTATTAAAAAAGATCTGAGTGTATTTTATCTTTCTCTGTATTGTACAGTATTTGACAGTGGAAACTCCACAAGCTCCAAACAAGTGAATCAAAACAACACGTCCTGAACAAGACTGTCACCTGGACAAATGCAGATACTGATCCAGCAGTTTCACATGTGAATGATGTTTGTTATTAAGTTTCATTTAGCCTAAAAAAATTTTCCAGTCTTATGGGAAACTCTGCTCTACTGGAGGATCCACACTGTAAACTGGAGAAACTATAGTAAGTTATTGAGTCAATGCTTTCATTTATTATCTTGTATTAAAGCAGATCTGAGTGTATTTTATCTTTCTCTGTATTGTACAGTATTTGACAGTGGAAACTCCACAAGCTCCAAACAAGTGACTCAAAACAACACGTCCTGAACAAGACTGTCACCTGGACAAATGCTGATACTGATCCAGCAGTTTCACATGTGAAGGGTTTTTCTTATTACGTTTCATTTAGCCTAGAATTTATTTTCCAGTCTCATGGGAACATTTTTTTAAAATAAGTAGATTACACATACTAACTTCACTGTAAAAACTTTAGTGTGAAATGACAGTATATTCCAGGTTAATAATTGCATGACTTTCACAGTAATTTCACAGTGAGACTTCTCTTGTATCTAACTGCACTCTCAGAAATTACTTTAAACAAACAGCATCATACTGTGTTTCTACAGTGCATATGTACTATGAAGATTCCCAGCATGCAATGCAGCATGAATAGATCGTGCTGTAGAGTTTTTTTTTTTTTATTTCTTGTTGGTTTTATTTGTGCTGTTGAACGCATATGTACTATGAAGGTTCCAAGCATGCAATGCAGCATGAATAGATCGTGCTGTAGAGTTTTTTTTTTTTTATTTCTTGTTGGTTTTATTTGTGCTAATGAACTTGTTTTTAGTTCACTTTTAGCAGTTTGTGTTGTTGGTTTATTTAGTAATGCTGGTTTATGTTGTAAGTGTTGTGTTTATTTGTTGAGTGTTATCATTGCTGTGTTTTGTATGTTGAGTATTAATGTCACATCTTTCAAAGACGTTTCTCAGCAGTTGCTTCACTATTGTGAAAGATCCATCCACAAACAGTTATGAACATGAAATAAGTTATTGGTTAATCTTCTTGTTTAAATACTGCTAAAATAAAACTTTCATGTTTATGTGAAAAATTGTTTGACTATCCTAAAGTCAGGTGAATAACTTATTTCATATTCTAGTTTATCATTTTAACAAATGTTTTAATTTGTCACACTTCTGACGTGATTAGATCATAAATATGAATATGAATATGCAAGGCCAAAGATCACAAACAGATGGCATCATCAATCACCATTATGGTGACTTCAAAACAATTACACTAAACAAGTACATTTCTCACAGTGGCACAGTTAAAGACAGCTTTATAATGTGAATTCACAGTAAAACAAGAGCAGTAAATTACTGTGATGTTAGCATCATTCTGCTGTTCATTCAGTCATTTGTAAGAAAATTACCCAGCATGCTTTGATTTCAGAGTCAATTTCTGACTACAGTATTATACTGTAAAATAATACTCTTTAATCCTGTATATTCCTGCCAATTTTTTTTTACAGTGAAGATAGATAGATAGATAGATTTTGTATGTTTTAGGATTTTGTATATTGTGATTATGTAGTTGTAATGAAAAAACTTAAAATATTCAATACTTTTTTTTTTTGTATCTTCATGAAACTTTTGTATATTGTTAACATATAGTAGACATGGACATCATGACATAACTTACACTTTTTACTTAAGTGGGTTTATCATATTTTTCTTTATACAGTACATTATAATATAAGCCTGGAGATTATTAAATTGAAAGTTCATTAAATTTAATTCTAAACATAGTATATGACAATGTGTTATAGTTTAAGTCCTGATGCAGCCTCAAGAGAGAGCTCATGAGAGAAGATGTCTCAGTTTACCAGCAGAGCGCTAGAGTCTCAAGGAGAGAGTTTGACATAAAACATACTGTAATAAATCAATTAAATTAAATATGTACAATATGAATGATTTTAAAATAGATCTAACTATGAGCCCTCTGGGATTTCACAAATCTTGGTAAATCTTTGCTTTTAATATTTATTGCCAAGCTTTCTTCCAATGTATATTATTCAGTAAGAAACTCATTATTCAGTTTTTCTTTTGGGGTAACTTTTTTGTGATGGAAATAAAACATACTGTGTAATATATTTATTAGGACATATTGTGTAATATATTTATTAGGACATATATATATCTTTACCTTTGACAAGCACAATGTAGTTTTTTTCTGTGTTAAATAGTTTTGGTGTCTACACATTAAAGTAAGCCCAGAGGATTACACTTACTAAATAAATATTAATAAATACTAAGAAATACTTCAGTTGTTTCAAGCCTCAGGCTAAATTAAGAGCTGCAACTATTTTTCCCATGGTCATGCCATTTCCCTAGAAATTACATTTGTTGTTTATGATAATCAGTGTATTGCCAAAGCATGGCATTTCAGGATACAAGCAGCAGTATCCAGCAATATCCAATATCTTTTGCTTATTTGAAGGGACATTTCTTCCCTTTTTATTCTTCACCTGTTCACCTGTCATGTAATAAACAAACAAACACAAACATGTTTGGTGTCAACTGAGAAGCATCACAGATCAGAATATTTGTGAGAATAATGACTTACAACTGAGAGTCAGTCCTATTAATACAAAGCAGGGCTGCTAATGGGTGCCCTAAGCAGGATTGTATTGTTGTGCCCCTCTCCCTCAAATATTATGGAAGTAAAAAAACAAACACAAAAAAAAACACCTACTATAGGGGTCAAAATATAACTTTAATAAAATATAAAAGTAAATAAATAAATAAATTGTATTAATTACAAATTACAAATCTAGACAGTTACATATGGCTATGAATTTATTAATACAGTTGTCTGATTGATTTTATAGCCTCAAGCATTCAGAAATCATGCAAAAGAAAATGAAACCGTTTTACTACGATAAAACCATGGTTAATTTTTGTAAGGGTTGTGATGTCCACATTATTTTTCTTGAAGAAATTATAGAGGCTGTGTCATCCATATAGCAAAAAGTTGGCCAAAAATGAAAGATTAAGTGGATATTTGAATTAAAGCAGCAATTACATGGCCTTTGGCTCCCTTTGCAGGCATTTGTAATAACATGTAATGTACATAAATTGTTAAAATACATAATGTAATACAAAATAAACAGTGTTATTCAATGAAACCATATAATTATTAATTAGCCAATCATTATTGCCTCAGTTTTTATATAATGCATTTTAAGTAATTTGAAAGGCTATTGTTGGCTTAGGTCTGTTTTTATAACCACAAAAAAATTATCATCTTAATACTGCTTTATAAATTATTATTTGAAGTAACAAAATGTACTCCGTTACTAATGTAACCTCGGTTCCCTGAGATACGGGAACGAGTACTGCGTCTTGTCTTAAGACGCTATGGGGAAAAGCCTTTTTTCTTCTGAACTGAAGCCTTTTTTTCAATCGCAGTAAAACTGCACAACCATTGGTTCGTGCAGTGTATTAAAAAATGAACCAATGGGTTGGCAGCGGTGCTGCACAAGCCTATGGCGACAAAGCCCACCAAAGCCCACCAGAATGGGCGGAGCCATCTAAGCGGGCATTCGCCGCAGGATTCTCAGGTTACTTCGACTGAAGCGACGACTGAGTCGTGCAGCTACATAGCACGGCTAGGAATGCACTACTCATTCCCGTATCTCAGGGAACCGAGGTTACATTAGTAACCGAGTACGTTCCCTGTCAATACTACACTCGTACTGCATCTTGTCTTAAGATGCTATGGGAACCCAGTACAATCACGCCGTGCTATCGTAGAGGAACGACTTAGGGCTGATACACAGGTCTGGCTCACCTTGATATATAGGCGTCCATGACACCACGCATGTGATGGAACCCGTGGATTCAGCTAGTGCTGAAGGGGTCGTATACGAAGCAGGCCCAGCTGAAGTGCTGGTGACACTGCAGCCATGAGGCCCAGCATCCTCTGAAATGCCTTGAGAGGGCGAGCGGGCCCTCTTACGAAGGAGGCCGCGAGTTTCCGCATGGCCGAAAACTGCCCCCAGGAACAATATTCGTTGGCTGGGAAGCAGCATGCTCTTGGCGAAGTCGACCCTGAGTCCCAGGTGCTCTAAGTAGCTGTGGAGGAGGGTCCTGTGTGCTATCGATTCTGCCTCTGACTGGGCCAGCACGAGCCAGTCGTCGAGGTAATTGAGAATTCGGATTCCCATTTGCCTCAGAGGGGAAAGAGCCACGTTCATGCACTTCGTAAAAGTGCGGGGGGCCAGGGACAGCCCGAAGTGAAGGACCGTGTACTGATAAGCCACTCCCTCGAAGGCAAATCTCAAGAATCGTCTGTGACGGGGGGCTATTTGGATGTGAAAGTACACATCTTTCAGGTCCAGATAAAAGAACCAGTCCCCTGAGCGGATCTGCGAGAGGATCTGTTTCAGTGTAATCATCCTGAACGACCTTTTCATGAGGGCGCGATTCAGGTGACTGAGATCGAGGATGGGCCGGAGGCCACCAACATTTTTGGGAATGAGGAAGTAACGGCTGTAGAAGCCTGACTCACTCTGAGCTGGAGGAACCGATTTTATGGCTCCTTTCGCCAGCAAATTCATCACCTCCGAGCACAGGACGTGGGCGTCCTTGCTTTCTACTGAGGTGGAGACCATGCCGCTGAAGCGTCGGGGTCTTCAAGCGAATTGGAGTGAATAGCCTCGTTCTATTATCTCCATAACCCACTTTGACACTCCGGGGATGGCCTGCCAGGCCTTGGCCCGCGTGGCTAGGGGTTGGATTAGCTCGAGTGACTGGCTGCCCGAAGGCACGGCACTCGTGGGAAATGGAAGAGGAAAATCTCTTTGAAATTGTATGTTTTATTTTTATCGCTATAACAGCGGTTGGTCGCTTGGGTGCTTGAACGGCCCCAGAATTCGCAACAAACACATTTTCCTCTGCACCCAGGGTTGAACTGGGTGACAGGAGGCTTCTGCAGCGAGACCTGGCCCCATCCTCTTCCTGTCTCGTGGATCAGTTAGACGCTGGAGGCGCCGGATCCAACGCTACCTTGGGCCGGGGTCCCTGGCGCCGTTGGGAGAGATCGGGGTGTCAAGGATGGCGACCTTATCCGCGTCCTTGATTTCCATTAGAGTTAGCCATAAATGGCGCTCGAGCACCACGAGGCTGGCCATCGATCTCCCAATCGCCTAGGCGGTGGTTTTGGTGGAGCGCAGAGCCAGGTCAGTCGCACTCCTCAGATCCCTGAGAGTCGTGGGGTCCAGGCCAGACTCCTCCGTGGAGGCGAGGATCTTGGGCTGAAAAACCTGGAGGACCGCCATAGAGTGAAGCGCTGAAGCCGCCTGTCCAGCC